CTTTCTGTGAAAAGTGCTATATAAATAAACTTTACTTACTTACTTACTTACTTCCCTTTTCCTAACTCTGGTTAGTACACGAGCTGCAGCATTTTGAATCAGCTGAAGCGACTTAACTGGGCCGAGTACAATAACTTCAGTTTTGGCCGTGTTTAACATCAAAAAATGTAAGGTCATCCATATTTTTAAGTCCTTGAGGCAGCATTGAATTGTATTTAGATGATTGGTTTCATCAGGCTTGATGGATAAATATAGTTGAGTATCATCCTCATAACAATGAAAATGTACAGAGTGATTCCTTATAATAAGCTCTGCTCAGTTTTTGATAAATTCACAAAATCTCCATGAGCAAATAGCTGTCATGGAATTGTAGTCGTCCATTTTCCTGAGCCCTTCAAGGACTCCATGTTCAACGTTTTGCCAGTCCATACTGAAGCAACACAGGTAAAAATCAGATTTCCCCGAAGTATTCCCCTCTCTTTCCCCCCCTTGCCTTTCTACCTTTAGTTGTATAAATAAATGACGAACAAAAAAGTTGAGAGACTTAACGTTTTTCCTGACCTTGACAAAACAATCCCAACACAAGTAAACCCTAAAAATGTCATGTAGGTCCTCAGTCTTACAAAACAACAAAGAGGTTTGTAGAAATGACTTCTTCATTTATGCTCATCCCTCAAATACTGAAAACATTCACAGGATGGTCTCCAGCTCTTGCAGAGATAAGCTGCTGTCTGGATCTTCTGCTCCTGGGTTTTGTGCCTCAGGTGCTCCATGAGTTTTGCTGTCATGATTTTCCTTGCTGGCTCTGGTGTGCCTGGCAAAAACTCCCTTCTCCGTCCCGGATGGCTTCCTCACTGGCAGCTCCTGCTGGGGGCCGGGGGTCTCAGCATCACCGGGCACGTATCCAGGCAGGCTGCTCTGCGGGTGGAGGGAGCCGTGGCGTGGCGGCCTGACCCCTGCCCCCCCACCCGAGGCTCCTCCTGAGGACAGAGCCCGGGGGTTGGCAGCAGACAGACTGACGCTGTGTGTGGTGGTGTGAGACATCATGCCGCCATAGTAACAGCTGCCTCCGCTGCTGGTCATCTTGGTTTTCTGCTTGAGGTCCAGAGCGAGGCTGCGTCTTAACCACGCCTTCTTTACCTCCGCCTGCACCTGAGAACGGAAGGAGGGAGACAGACAGAAAGTTATGTTTTTTTCATTTATTATTAGAGTACATCTGCTTTTCAAAAGTAACTGATTCATTACCTCTCCATTGCAGAAGCAGTAGATGAATGCCACAAAAAAGCCCTGAAAAAAATGTGATTTAGTTAAAAAACAAAACATCATGGCACAGTCTTTATGCTAAGCTAAGCTAACAGCTGCTGGCTGAAAAGCAATGTTTACCACACAGACCATGTGTGTGGTATATATATTTTATATGGCAAAAAGCAAATAAGTGCATTGTTTAAAATGTAATATCACACACTTGAAATGTGTTAAAATAACATATATAAATATAAATCCTTGAAACTTTTTTTTCACGAGTTCAGGTTTTCAGAAATGTTGCCTCATAGTAGCCAACAACCCTGAGATAATATTTCTGGATTTAGCACTCCAACGCTTTTTTAAAGCATTTCAATAGAAGTTATAATCATAGTCATAATATAAGCTTGAATTAAACATTAAATCACAGCATTCTATGCAGAGTTTATAATTGTGTTTCTGACCTGAGATGAATTGAAGAACATCTCGTAATGCATTTGAACCTGCCATAGCAGCCCTGTGACCTCAGTGTAGGGGAGAGCCATGAACACCATGTAGTGAACTCCAAACAACGGCATGAGGACTAATGTGGACTTCAGCAGCTTCCTGAAGATAAACAGCACAACATTCATGTCGTTTTTTAACATTTGTAAAAACTATAGTGTAGAATGATGGATGTCTATTAAACATTTTCAGTGGAATTTCAAAGTAAAAATAAATATTACCGATACTGCTGCCGAGGGTCCAATTTACCAGTGTTTGTTTCCCACAGTTTAGAGGCCAGTACACGTATTATATTAACAAAGAGGAGGAAATTCACCTGAATGGACAGAGGCCGCAGTTAGAATCAACCCAAGTGTAAAAGGTATTTACCGTATATACAATAGTCTGAAAAAGTATTTTTTCTTACAACAATAGCTGCCAGAATGGGAACTTGATAGATCCACTTCAGGTTCCCTGCACTGATGTCCCAACATCTGAAAGCAAAGAGAGAAAAAAGGAAACGTGAGGAATTATGACACAGCTTTGTGGTAATATAAGAAACTGAAAAGCATCACAAGACTCACTGTGTGTCCGCCAGCGATGCTCGAGCACTGACCCAGACAGACACGAACACAGCTGGAACACCTGGGAGGAGCGGAGAGAGATATTAGGATAATGTGAGTTTGTTTAATCCACTGTAAGACAGCAGAGTATCTGGTCTGATGCAGCTCACCCCAGCCGATGATGGTGAGGGCCCACAGGTAGTTCTTGTCAGAGAGGAAGGCCATGAAGATGAGGCTATGAAGATACAATCCCTCCACCAGGATCCAGTAATGATTGGTCGCCAGGAAATAAAGAAAGAGAGTGACGGCCGCTTTACAGCCGGCCTGAGGACACAAAGAAGAAGGAAACATCAACATGCCATAAAATGTTGACATGAAAAGTCCATTAGCTCCGTTTCTAATAAAGGAATAGTTTGACGGTATGCTGTCAGCACAGTTATGGTGTTAACAGAATAAATGGTTATAAATATGAAAACACATTGTTCACCATAGGGGGCTTCAATGCATTGAAGTCATCCTCTCTGTCTTCAGATATGGAGTAGAGCACGGTGTCCTTCACGAAAATGCTGACTGCCCGACTTATGAAGGAGGTGAAGAGGTGAATGTGGATGTAATTGCGTGTGCAGTGGAGCCGCCTGTAGGGTTAAAGACACATATTTTGACTTGTATGTTATTGATGATGTAGACAATAGACTGTGAATACCGATGCTTTTTGAAGAGATGTGTTCATGTTTCTCACTTGAAATAGCAGAGGATGGAGACGGCTACCAACAGCGATGCTAGAGAAATTGAATATCCGACAGTGTACATGAGGTGGAGTCTCTCAAACACCTTCTGAAGCAAAACAAAAACATGGTTAATAGTGCGCAACAGACACCAGGTATGTCTAGGTGCTGAGGTATTACTAATTTACGCTGCTTTATACTGTTATTCTACTTTACAGCATCTCAACAGCAAATACGATACTTTTTACTGTGCATTTATCAGCTTTAGTCAACTTGAGATTCCAGTTTACCATTGCTTACGTGTCCAGTAAAAATCATGTATTCCAGATGTGTTTAGATTTTGAATATAGTATTTGCACAGTTTGGTACTACGGATCTGAATACACTGTTAAACAGCAGTATTCTGCAACACTGAAGATTTCAAAATCTGTCAAAATCCATAGACAAACACTGTTTGTATGTAGACAAACACACATGTGCGTACCTCCTCTTCAATCCTGTGGTTGGAGGTCAGGTATGTGGTGCACTCGGAGTCCGAGTGCACCACATACCTGACCTCCAACCACAGGATTGAAGAGGAGGTACGCACATGTGTGTTTGTCTACATACAAACAGTGTTTGTCTATGGATTTNGGCTGAAGGAGTTAGATATTAAATGTAAGTAGTAGTGAATGAATGTGTATTAAGAAGAGAAAAGAAAGTAAAAACCAGACAGAATATTTTAACTGCACACTTTTGAACTAAAACCATACGTCACCAATAATGTATAAAATATGTGGAACATGTTGAAGTCAGTATGAAGTCTCCATCCGACAGAAAGTCTTTAAACTCCAGTCTGTTTCTCAGTGTTTTTTTCTGTGCTGGGCACCTAATCATAACACCTGTGTGTAAGCCCAGAGATCAAAGGTTACTATGGTGACGACGTTATCAAACACCTTTGTACGTGAGCCCAGAGATCAAAGGTTTCCAAGGAGACGTGCTGTGAAAGGAGAGCCTTTCCATTGTTCTGAATGAGAAATAAACCTCTTACATTTCTAACTATAGTTTAAAAACGGTAGCTGCTTTCGTAAAATGTCGACGCGTGGAGGATGTCAGGACCCTGACGAGCGTCGGAATCTGCTTTTTGTGTACTTTTGGGTCCATAATGTGGCATTTTTGGCAGATTTACTAAGAAAAAAATGGCGAAAGGCGAATTTCAAGCTCTCCTCCACTCTAGCTGTGACATCACGCACTCTAGCCTTTAACGAGCTGCGCAATACACAGTCATGTTAAAATCTGAAGAAGGCCTCTTTACCAAGCTCCAAACTAAGTTAAATATCTCAAAAAGTATAAACTTCAAAAACAAGAAAAGCCATAGCACACATGTCCTGAAGGAGCTGAAGATTTTAATATTTGAATGGTTTCTGTAGCTGAAAGTATGTGGAAGGAGTAGCACAAGGTGTAGGTAAAAGAGGATTTTGAAGGTTCCTCCCATTGAGTTACATGTTAAAAAAATTGTTTAAAAGCTGAATATTTCAAAAAGTATTACATATTTTGAAAAAGTTGAAAGTTTCCCATCATGTGCTGAAAAGGCTGAATAGTTTGATATTTGGATGGTTTGTGGCTGTTGCACAGCATTCACACTTATAGATGATAACTTATTTGTTGGTTATATACTGTAGTGGCGTAAAAATATAATGTAGCAGCAAATGGGAATGCTCAATTAAATTACCTCAAAATTGTACTTAACTAACATGTTCCCCGTCACTTCAATAACTTTATTGCATCTTTCTATACAGATCGACTCTGATGATGTCATCACCCGAGATGAGCAGATCTACGTTCTGATTGGTGCTCACGCCCGGTGTGAGAGGAACATCCAGGCACAGTTGGCCCTGGTTAAAGGTTAGCATGCTTTTTTTGGATAATTGTATCCATTTAAATTAGGGACAAGACAGTGCTCAATGTAGTTTTCTTGTCATTAAAAAGACTATATGAATACAATGTAAACCTTTCCATAACATTACTTAAACATTTTGAATATGTTGAGTTTGCCAATTAAAGTCAAAGAGTTTTGTTATCTTTTAAAAATATTTATTTCATAGCATAGCAATTGTTACTATGAAAACAGAAGAGGTCAGGGAGTGCATGTCCAAATATGTAATCAGAAACTGTATTTATGACATCAATTGTTTATTTTGGATCAGATATGGCACCCATCCAATATCCTGCTGAGCAGTATCTCTGTGATTAACAGAGATGAATTTGGGTGCAGACAAAAGCAGGTCATTTTTCATTCATGCTACTGATTAATTGTTTGATTGATCTATTTGGAGAGGAAGATGGAGCCTACAGTCTGAAGAAAAGTAATGTCCAAGCGAGGCACAGCAAACATCAGATCCACAGATATCATACAAAATCCTCCAATATAAAACTATAACAATAAAAGATTTGACAGTATATATTTTAGGAAACCATAACACGTGATATTTTCTTCAATCATAACCATTCAAACCTTTTTTGAGATACTTTAATGGAGTATTTCCATGTAATGCTACTTGTTTCTTCAACTCTATGTCAGAGAAACAACATTTAACTAACAGCTCCTTTTTAATATTTGAAATGAAAGTTTTCACCCAAAACATGACAACACCAGAAGAGTGCACTAGTCATGATGCTTTTATACAGATTGAACTACCCAGTACAGTATCTAAAGTGGTCAAATGCAGCTACACTGAACAAAAATATAAATGCAACACTTTTGTTTTTGCTCCCATTTTTCATGAGATGAACTCAAAGATCTAAAACATTTTCTACATACACAAAATAACCATTTCTCTCAAATATTGTTCACAAATCTGAAAAAATCTGTGATAGTGAGCACTTCTCCTTTGCCGAGATAATCCATCCCACCTCACAGGTGTGGCATATCAAGATGCTGATTAGACAGCATGATTATTGCAAAGGTGTGCCTTAGGCTGGCCACAATAAAAGGCCACTCTGAAACGTGCAGTTTTGCTTTATTGGGGGGGTCTGGGGGGGTCCGAAAACCCTAGGGTTAAACCCTAACCCTAACAAGTCACCCATCTCCTTGGCATAGAGTTGATCAGGTTGTTGATTGTGGCAATGTTGGTCCACTCCTCTTCAATGGCTGTGCGAAGTTGCTGGATATTGGCAGGAACTGAAACACGCTGTCGTATACGCCGATCCAGAGCATCCCAAACATGCTCAATGGGTGACATGTTAGGGTTAGGGTTGGGGTTTAACCCTAGGGTTTTCGGACCCCCCCAGACCCCCCACTAAAGCAAAACTGCACGTTCCAGAGTGGCCTTTTATTGTGGCCCG